GACTGTCTGAGGGGACCACTTGCCACGAAACAGTTGTTGCGAGTAAGAGAGAGAGAGTTGCGAGTAGGGAGAGAGAGAGAGAGAGTTGATTGCATTGGTTCTCTGACTCTGTGTGAATTGGAAAATTGGTGCGTCTGGGTGTCAACCCGTAATAAACAGCCGGGCTTGTCCCGTCATATTATCACTCAACTTCTATCTTCGGCCCTTTTTCTAAACTTCACGTCTTTGGCAAGCCTTTCCTTTACNATATATATGTATTGTCAACTCCTGACTTCAGTGTAATATATATATATTTATATATATACACTCCTGACTCTATCAATGATCCTCCACATCACCACATCGGCTGCTTAGAACTGCACGCGCGGACAACCACACACACGGAAAAACACTGCTAGTTTTTTTTCTCGCAATCACGAACGCGTGATCGCGCTAGTCTATTAGCTTTCGCATGGCAAAAGTTGCGCGCTCTCTCTCTCTCTCTCTCTCTCTCTCTCTCTCTCTCTCTCTCTCTCTCTCTCTCTCTCTCTCTCTCTCTCTCTCTCTCTCTCTCTCTCTCTCTCTCTCTCTCTCTCTCTCTCTCTCTNTGTATTATATATATATATACCGATATATATTTTATACACTCCCGACCCTATCAGAGTGTATAACACACCACGCACGCACGCAACACGCGCGCGCACACACAGACACACACACGCACGCACGCACGCACGCACGCACGCACGCGACGGCACGCACACACACAACACACACACACACACACACACACACACACATACATATATATGTATTGTCAACTCCTGACTTCAGTGTAATATATATATATTTATATATATACACTCCTGACTCTATCAATGATCCTCACACTCATCACATCGGCTGCCTAGAACTGCACGCGCGCGGCAACCACACACACTGCGAAAAAACACTGCTAGTTTTTTTTCTCGTAATCACGAACCGCGTGATCGCGGCTAGTCTATTAGCTTCGCATGCGCAAAAGTTGCGCGCCTCTCTCTCTCTCTCTCTCTCTCGCTCTCTCTCTCTCGTGCGCTCTCTGTTCTCTCAATATCTCTCTCTCCTCTCTCTTCCTCTCTCTCTCTCTCTCTCCTCTCTTCTCTCCTCCTCCTCTTTCTCTCTCTCTCTCTCTTCTCTCTCTCTCTCTCTCTGCTCCTCTCTCTCTCGTCTCTCTCTCTCTCTCTCTCTCCTCTCGTCTCTCTCTATCGCTCTCTCTCTCTCTCTCTTCCTCTCTCTTCTCTCTCTCTCCTCCTCTCTCTCTCTCTTCTCTCTCCTCTCTCTCTCCTCTCTTTCTCTATCGCTCGCTCTCTCTCCCTCTCTCTCTCTCCTCTCTCTCTCTCTCTCTCTCTATCGCTGTTCTCTCTCTCGCGCGCTCTCTGTCTCTCAATCTCTCGCTCTCTGTGTCTCTCTCGCGCTCTCTCGTTCTCTCTCTCTCTCTCTCTCTCTCTCTCTCTCTCTCTCTCTCTCTCTCTCTCTCTCTTCTCCTCTTCTCCTCTCTCTCTGTCTTCTCTCTCGCTCTCCTTTCTCTCTCTCTCTCTCTCCCTCTCTCTCGCTCTCTCTCTCTCTTTCTTTTTCTCTCTCTCTCTCCCTCTCTCTCTCGCGCTCTCTCTCTCTCCGTCTCTCTCGCTCTCTCTCTTTCTTTCTCTCTCTCTCTCGCTCTCTCTCTTTTCCCCCTTTCTCTCTCTCTCTCTCTCTCTCTCTCTATCGCTCTCTCTCTGTCTCCCTCTCTCTCTCTTCCCCCTCTTAGTCTTTTCTCTCCCCCCTCTTTCTCTCTCTCTCTCTCTCTCTCTCTCTCCGTCTCTCTCGCGCTCTCTTTTTCTTTCTCTTTTTCTCTCTCTCTTTCTCTCTCTTGCGTGCTCTCTCTCTCGCTCTCTCTCTCTCTCGCTCTCTCTTCCTCCTTTCTCGCTTTCTCTTTCTCGCTCTATCTCTCTCCTTCTTTCTCTCTCTTTCCATCTCTCTCTCGCGCTCTCTCCCTTTCTCTCTCGCTCTCTCTTTCTCTCTCGCTCAAGTTCTCTCTCTCTCTTTCTCCCTTCTCTCTCTCTCTCTCTCTCTCTCTCTCTCTCTCTCTCCCTTCTCTCTCTCTCTCTCTCCCTTCTCTCTCTCTCTCTCTCTCTCTCTCTCCCTTCTCTCTCTCTCTCTCTCTCTCTCTCTCTCTCCCTCTCTCTCCCTCTCTCTCACGATTACTGTGAAGGCATAGCGACACGCGGTGATGAATATATATGTGTGTATATGTGTGTATGTGTGTGTATTATCTTTGCCCATGTCTGTATCTACATACCATATATATCTATATTTATATATATGTCTATATATATATCAGGGGTGGGCAAACTTTTCAAAGCGAGGGCGCCGCATCAGTGGGCCATGAAAAGTCGAAGGGCCGCACCTTTAAATCAGCGGTGCGCCTCTAAGATAATACGTGCTGTTTGCACAAGGGCGCCATTTCGGACCAAATTAGCTGAAATGCGCGTTGCAGACGAACCAGAGACAATAGAACAGTAATCTGTATGACACTGAAAAGTCAGCCTCGGTTTCAAGCACAAACATGTTGACTTCACAAAAATCTATTAATTTTAAAAAAGACATATTTTTATTATTTATATTTTTTTATTGGCTGTAGGCTTCCGCGGCCGCACAGAACCCGCGTAGAGGGCCGCATGCGGGCCGCGGGCCGAGTTTGCCCACCCTGATATATATATATATACACATATATGGATATATATATACAGATCTATATATACATATATATATATATTTGTTTATATATATACATATATATATATATTTGTTTATATATATATATATATATATATATATATATATATATATATATAGCTCAGTCGCTATACAAGCACATAGTGTATATAGCGTAGTGGCGCCATCTATCGCCGGAAAAATCGGCTTTTATTGCTAACCATGCTCTCTATCCTTAGCACCAGCCGGGTTTTTAAAATATTACATAATCTCGGCCCACAGTATATGACAGAAGGTTTCATGTTAACGTCTGAAGTCTATAGTTTCAATACAAGGAAGCTTGGAACTCTCTACCACTGCAAGTTAGGACAAATTCTGTTTATTATAGTTTTAAGTATAGGGTTAAGAAATATCTGATAGAAAAGGTAGAAACATTAGAGGCAGAGAAGCATGATTTTCGCTAAAAGAATTCGGTTGAAATTAGGCATAAGAAAAGTTTTATCGTCTTATGAGAATGTACTATTGTATGACCGGTTAAAACTACAAATTTGTATATTTCAATAGTTAGTGCTGATAGTATTAGTAGTGTAATTGTTAGATTCAAGGCATAGCAAAACAAGGACCACAATGTAAATAAGTGTGCTAGTCATGCTTTTTGTGTATATGTGACCCGCTCCAGCATAATACGGACTAAATCGCAAGTCATTGTTTTGAGTAATGAGCACGCACACATGTCAATGCTGAAAATGGCCTACCTGGACAAAAATGAGATGTTTACAAAAATAAGTTCCTAAGTGCATATTTAATCTGGATATATAGGTTAAGATATCTCTAGATTATCATGGTCATTTTTAATTAACAAAAAATAAAATATTTTGAAGGCCCCTCCGCTCATCCCCCGACTGGGCCCTTACCGCGAACACTTTATCTCAAAAGCTGCATATTCCGGAATAAGTCGGTTTCCGATCTTCAAATTGCTGTCGGCCAATTCTTTAGATATAGCCAAATATTATATATCATTTTAAAGGTAATTAAATGATCTATTCAGATATGCACATAACTCAATTTGTAGAATTTCCTACTTAATCCTGGTTTTGCTGGAGCGGGTCACATATATCCTTGGTAGTTATCCAATTTTATGAATTCAGAATTTTATTGTAAAAGTATACTATATTGTATATATGCTGGATAATTGCCTAAATAAACAAATAAAATAAAAAAATAAAATAGGGTTGTCGGTTAATCATTACTAAAACATCTGGGAATGGAATGGTTAAAGCCAACCAGCAGCAGCAGCTATGAATTTATTTTGAAAAATCTATATCACATGATATTTTTATATCTACCGGCTCACCATATCTCACCGTACAATATTTTCCGCTTGCAGTAATCGAACACCGAAAAATTCGTGCCAAATGGCCGAGAATATCGACGCGGATGGCGAGGAAATCGCCTCGGACGAAATACGCGAGCTGCGGCGGAGATTTCTCGACGAGCGTCGCACGGAAATCGACGGCGGAACGTACGACCGCCGCGACCTCGATCGCTTCGAGAAGGACGACCACTACGTCGGACTCTTCCTGAAATCTCGCTACGGCAACGTCGGCGACGCGCTGACCGCCGTCCACACCTCGCTCGAGTGGCGCAAACAGTTCGCGATCGCCGACGTCCGTGAGGAGGACCTCCAGCCGCAATTCGAGTCGGGGTTGCTCTACTTCCACGGCCGCGACCGGGAGACAAATTTTTTTTTTCCCACTTGAGTTCCGGACCACAGCCAATCAGCGCACTCCATTCACTCGACTTCCTCGAAGCAACAATGTGAAATCAATACCCACCTTCCCCAAACCCTAACCCTAACACTAACACGTACCCGAATCCTAACACTAACACGTACCCGAACCCTAACACTAACTATAATCCAACCATATATATAAGAACCATTTATTACAAAACACTATCTATGGTGGGTTCAGAACTCAAATGGGGAAAAAAAATTCGCGACCGGGAGGGCCGCGCGATCCTCTGGTTCGTCGGGCGGCTTCACAGGAGGGACGCGTCGCAGCTGGACGCGCACAAGCGCTTGCTCGCGCACCACTTCGAGCGGCATTGCGCGGAGAACCCTCCCCGATCCAGCCCGGCGCGTCGGCGGACGTCGCCGTCTCCCTGCAGTCGGGATTCTCGAGCGTCACTCGCGACAAGTTTCTCATTATGTCGACGGAGCTAGAGGAACGGCAACCGTCGGCGGACGGTCTCGCAGCGGCGTGGAACAACGCGAGTTCCGTATTCAAACACAGACTGCATTGCAGGGCGCGACCGATCGTCATCATAATTAATATACCACAATGTGTTGTATGTGTTGTATATGTTGTATATATATATACAACAACAATGCGAATTTGAGCAAAACGGCACTAGTTCAACTTTGGAGCATTCTTACATTATGATAACTAATAAATTTATATAAGTAGGGCTATTATAGCTCATTATAAGCATGAAATATCAAATAATAATGTTACAATCTATTCTTAGCATTTTGAGTTGACAATGGGTGTTTTGAACAACGTTTATGGAAATTAACCGCTGTTACTTACAGATAGCAAACGGTATAATTCAGTGATATAGGCTGGCATCGAACAACAGATTTCAGCACATTCAACCCAGAGGAAAATCATGAAAGGTGTCTATTTCAAAGGAACAAAAGCTCATTAATGATGAAAACACTAAGAAATAATTAAAGCTAACAATACAAAGAATAATATTTTATGGTATTATATAATTATAATATATATATATAGTTTTTATATAATCAATAGTATCACTTGTCACTTCCAACACAGATACAGGCCTTAGATATGACATATACAACAGTTCAGCAATTTCTTAAAATTTCATAACTCAACGTGTAACCTTCCATCTGGGGAGTAAAGAATTCACAGACTTCATCTCTTGGAATATGAGATCAAAAGTCGTTTTCATTCTCACAATCATCACAGCTAAATTAAAAATTGAAAACAAATATCACGAGCAGCTGCACACACGAACTCAATAAGTGCTCACGTTGAATTCGGCTCTGAGGTGTTTAAACTACCAACGATCGCGTAATTATTGCGATACAGCGCCACAATCCCACCGATAGCTAGCACGATGAGCGATATGAGAACGACGAGAAGGAGGGACAGCACTTGAAACTGCCTCTCGAGGTATCTGTTCGCTTCGTCGTCAGCAAGCTCATCTGGTCGGTGAGTTTCGACACCTGCCTGTCTAGCGCAACACGGCGTCGTGCGAG